CGCGAGCGCCTATTCTACCCCCAGCCTCACCAAGCCCTTGCACAGCTCTCCCAGGACACCACTGCGCGTCGCCGCCACGCTCCAAGGATAACTTCCAGACTCCAAAACTCGGCTGCCGAGTCTTTCAGCATCGGCTGTTTTAGGAGTGCTCTATATTCGGGATTGGGCGGCCTATAAATTTATTAAATAGTTAAATACTTAAATATGGTGGGCCTGCTGCTGGAAGATTCTGTCCGGAAGACTCTCTGTCCGGCAGCCGGCCCACCATAGAGAGCACTCCTAGAGCGGCCGATGCTGGAAGACTCAGCAGCCGAATTTTGGAGTTTGGAAGTTATGCTCGGAGCGTGGTGGCGTCAGACGGTGGTGTCCTGGGAGAGCTGTGCAAGGGCTTGGTTCTGCTGGGGGCAGAACAGGCGCTCGCACAACCCCTCTCCAGCCAGGCAGAGCTCCATTCACTGACCTAGAGGGTATCCCAAATGTGCCAAGCCGCGGGAGCAGGAGGGCAAGCAGAGCGCCATGTGGCTTCCCACCTTAGTGATACCCCCTAGGTCAGTGAATGGCGCACTGCCCGGCTGGAGAGGAAATTTTCTGGGCAGCTGCTCGTGAGCGTGGTTACCTCATGGCTGCTTGAGGCTGTGCCTGGCTCTTCGGGAGTCTGCTCGCAAGGGAGCAGCCGCCCAGCAACCCCAAAACAATAAGTGCTCTCTGATAATAAGCCCAAGGACATATTTGGTGGGGCAAAAGAAAATAAGATCCTTCGTATTTTCGGGGAAACACGGTAAGTGATGTTTTCAGAAATGGAATTAATGCTAGCTAAACAATGAGCAGGAAGACAGGAAGCATGCAGTCATCTTCTGTAACAAAGAAGCAAAATTTAGGATAGAGAATGCATAAGAAATTGCATTTACTCACAATGTGAATATGCAATTGGAGGAAATGAAACTTTCCAATGGCTGCAGAGGAACTGATTTTTTCTCTCTGCTTGTTGCATGCAAGCACCAAGTTTCTAGGTAGTAACATAAGAATCAGGGAGGTGGATTCTCTCTGCAGCAAACATATATGTGTTCTAGATTTCAAAAAGTATTGGCTAAAAGGACAAAAAAAAAAAGGAAAGACACATTTAGATCTGGGCATGCTACTTGGTATGATCTGAGTGTAGGATCAAGCTTGCGTTACCACAATATAGAGCCTTATTTTGTTTTTGCAAAAATTGTGCTGTTTTATGTTTTTCATCTAGATTCTCAGTTTAAACAATTATTTAATAGCATTCATTTTAGACAATGTCTTGAATATTTATTAAAGATTGGAATAACCACTACAAACTCAATCACAAGTAACTGGCAACAATAAAATGTAGGAATCATTGTATGAGTAGATATAAAGTACATCTAATTAATGCTACAATGGCTAAAATATAAAGGAACGTTGGACTATTTTTAAATTTCAAGTGAATGAATTTTTAAAATTTGCAGTTTTGTACATTTAAATATGTCAACCAATTGCTTCCAAGCTAGTGGTGAAATGTAAACATTTATGCCACTGGTTCACTGGGTGTGGCTTGGTTTCGGGGGGGTTGTAATGTGACTGTGTGGGCATGGCCAACCAGCAGGAAAAAAAGACGTTAAAAAGCAGATTTCCCCCCCAATGATCATGTAGATCAGCTGTGAGCCGCCTGATCCTTGGAAGACTTTTTTTTTTTTTTACTACTGGTTTGCAGAACCAACGACAATAATCCATGCTGGTTCAGCCGAACCAGGAAGATTTCACCCCTGCTCCAAGCATAGATAATAATTTTATTCTCCCAAATGAGCCTCACTGGACATATAAACATCTTAAGTGCTGCTTGCAGATTCATGGTCTGGTTAAAAAAGTACAGTTATGCATTTTAAGATTTACTTTTTTGTAGTGGTCCCAGTCATATGAAATGCTCCACCATCAATTTCTTTTAATTTTAAATTATTGTACAAAAATGCATATCTCAAATGTCGTACTTCAAGATTTCTAAACTTCAGAAAACTTAGAATCCCGTTTTCCAATTTCTGAGAATTTAACTTGAAGTTCATATTGTAATGTCTCATAATTTTAAGATCAAATCAAAATTTCAGTTTTTCATGTTTTAGAACTAATTTTTCCTTTTCAAAATTTATATTTGCAAAAATTTCAAGTATTTTTATGTTATTATATTTTCACATTTTAATTTTAGATAAACAGTTGCATACTCAAAAACAAAGCACAACTTATAATTGCAACCTAGATGGCAATTTATGTCCTGATCCATATGTGTGTGTGTGGCTTACTGGCCCTTAAGAGATTATAGAGACATGGATTTTCCATTGCTGTAGTTTATAGCCAATAAAGTAGCTGAACACATTTTGTTTAAAACTGAATTTGTACATGAGTTAATTCTGTACCAATGTTGTAAGATTACCTGGATTACTGCCATCAAAAAGAGAATTATTTCAGTGCAGAATTGTCAGATACTAGTCAAACCATCCACCTGCTTATATACAGTAATATTTTTATGTAAATATGAAATAATATCAGTTCTCAGAGAACTTTCCTCCCTTTTGGTGCCCACAAATTACATACATTAGAAATTGATATTAAAATCCTGATGATTCAGAAAACAGAACTGGATCATTTGAAATTTAGGAATATAAGCAGACAGAGTTTATATGGTCTTACACCACAATGTTTTAAGCATTTGTCTTGCAAAACCTGAAGGGCTAGTAGAATATTATGGTGATGGTGTAATATGTCTTTAACCATTATTTGCATTAGTTAGGTTCTTTTTACCTTTTATAAATACTTTAAATAATCACCAATGTGAATGACCCTTACAGGTTGTCCTTCATTTATGTCTGTTCATTTAATGGTAATTCAAAGGCATTGTGAAAAATTATTTTTGAGCAATATTCACACTTATGACTCTGCGGTTGCACTTTAGGCACTTGGCAGCCAACTTACATTTATAACGTTGCTACATCCTGCACTCATATGATTCCGATTTACATTTTTTTGCTGATTTTTAGCAAAAAAACTCCTACCATATTTTTTAGAGTATAAGACGCACCAAGATTTTGAAGAGGCAATTAAGAGGAACTTTAATCACTTTTTTAAAAGCATCATAATCACATAATATGAAATACAGAACTGACAGTCAAAATATTGTTAAAATACTTTTTGAGTTAATGTAAAAAGATGAATGAATGTGTGAAGACAGGCAGAGTATGTGTATGTGTAGGCAGAACAATCCTATTTTAGCTTCTTGGACAGATATTTAAGAGAAGCTTCATAGGGTACAAATACTTTATTGATAAAAAGGAGAAAAAGAGATGCTTGCTCTAAAAGTCTAAGTTCAGGTGATCTATGTACTAGCTATGCCAAGATTCAAAATTTCTGAGGAGGTGCTTAATGCTACACTCCTCCCGTACTTCTTGTACATTCCATTTTAAGAATCTAAAATAAAGGTGTTGCAAATGTGGAAAAAGAGAAATCCCCTGCTTTGCCATTTCCTGGTAAAAGTGATTTGATGAAATTGTTGCAATGCTGTATCATGTAGAATTGATGGAATTTTTAGAATGAACTGGTTGTTTTCAGATGATGATCTACAGGTAATCTTCAATTTAGGATTAGAATCGAGCCGTAATTTCTGTTGCTAAGTAAGACATTGGTTAGGTGAATGTTGCCCCATTTTACGACTTTTCTTGCTAGTTAAGTGAATCACTGCACTTGTTCAGTTAGTCACGATTGCAGCAGCCCCATGGCCACATAACCAAAATTCAGATGCTTGACAACTGGCTCATATTTATGACAGTTGCAGTATTCTGCAGTCATGTGATTACCTTTTGTGACTTCTGACAAGCAGTCAATGGGGAAGTCAGTTCACTTAACAATTATCTCAACAACTGCAATAATTCATTTAACAACTCTGGCAAGAAAGGTCATAAAATGGGTCAAAATTAACAACTTCTGACTTAAACAGAAATTTTAGACTCAATTTTAGTCGTAAGATGAGGACTACCTATATAATAAATGCTAATGCAAGAAACTCTTCTAATGTCCAGATTCAAACCAAGTAATCTATTTGTTTCTCCAAATATGAAGGCTGAGACAATTGCCCCGAGTTAGGTGTTCCCTAGAAATGGTTTGGATCAATGCAGTAATTTTTGATGTATTATTTGAAATCAATTGATTTATCCTCCATATTTATAAATTGTAACAAATATTTTGCCAATAAAATTATTCAACACTGTATGCCAACATTATTACTTGATTTGCAGACTACAAAATGTTGAAGCTTATACAAAAAGTCAGGGTTGAGACAGTAATTTTTAAAATATAATACATAATACTAAAATAAAATTAATTTAATAAAGAAAAGGTTGTCAATTTTATTCCAAAATGCTGCTTTTGTTTATTTCTGATACTGGCTAAGTCTGCTAATGAACATATTACAATATAAATCAAGGTACTGGAAAACGCATAACCATTTGGTACAAGACAAATAATCACCCAATACTAGATTTAAAGCAAGGTCATATATTTTCAAATGTTTATCTAAGGCAGATGGTCATTTAAAAAAAATATAACATATCAAATAAGCTGTTTAGAAGAGGTAGAAAATACCAAAATATTGTATTAGAAAAACATTTGTCTTTTAACATAATTGTTTTGCAAATTGTTAAAATGAAGGATTTTTATATTGTCTTAATTACTTTTTAAAGAGGAAAATCCACAGAGTGAAACTAAAAAGTTCTATCAGTATTAGGTCAGATTATTTCATTTGGTCATTTTTATCCATGTTCTAGATTAGATAGGAGCATTGTTTGAAAGATCAAGGTTATATATTTCATATCTCCAGCTTCTGGAAACTCACAGGAGTCTGCCAAGTAGCATGATACCATCAAGGAATGGGATTGAATGGAGGAGGTATTTTTCTATGTTTGTAGAGTTTTAAGACTTTCAAAAGAGAGGGAGAGGGGGAGGGAAAGAGGGAGGGAGGGAGGGAGAGAGAGAGAGAGAGAGAGAGAGAACAGATGAATCACTCAAGCAACCATGCCTTTTTCCAGACTTGAATGGCTCTCTCCATATCAAGTAAAATATCTGTGCATCCATGCACATATGAAGGCAGCTTGAAGCAACTTTCCAAAACAGCCACACAAGCCGAGAAGGAAAAAAAGACATGACCATGCTTTGTATGCTTTTTAAAGTATCTCTTTCAAAGGAGTTGCAGTGGCTTTCTATACAGCATTATCCATATACATCCTATGATAAAAATTTGGTACACAATTTTCTTGGAATCTCTTCTGTTAAAGTTCTGCTAAACTCTTCAATTCTTCAACGGTTTTCAGTTCATTTCATCAAGTCATAAGAGAACTTCCCAAAGTTCTTTATCTTTTTTATAAGGCAGTAGAATTAGCAATACTACTACCACTTACATTATTTCTTTGAATTTTTTTTTAAATTAGATACAATATTAAGGTACCAAATCTATTGAAAAATAGTCCAGTGTTTAAATTCAAACAATAGACATAATAAATAAACAGCAGCTTTGGTATTGCCCTGCTGAGGGATCAATGTCAGCTATTTGTGTTTGTGCGGGTAAATGCTGCTGACTCATAATATTTGTCACACAACTTTATAAGGCATTAAATCTTACTTGCATCATCCTTTGGAAAAATAGTGTTAATCTCTCTTGTCTCCATTTAAAAATAACATTCAGTAATCATCGATTTATATATAAAGAAAATTATTTTTGTAACTTTGAAAAAATATTAATTTTGAAATAGAAGAGAAACAGAATGAAGTAAATATACATGCATGCCAAAGTCTTAAGTAATAGTCTATAAGATCAAAGTTATATGCATTATTTTCTTCCTTACAAACAAAAGGATTGTTAAAGATCCTCTTCATTTGATTCTTTTTCACCACAACACAGGATTATCCAGCATGGAAAATCCAGGGTTTTTTCTAAGTTCCAGGTAAGTTCCATTGCTTACCCAAGAGTCATCTGCAGATTTCCTGTAAAACAGTAAAGAAAGCAATTTTGTTTCGTGGCTAACACATCTGCTTTTATTCTCTTCTCTAATAGACAGAGGTAATAGAGTGTCTATGAAACTCAAATACTTTGGCCACCTAATGATAAGGAAGGACTCGCTGGAGAAGCGCCTAATGGTGGGAAAGATTGAGAGCAAAAGAAGAAGGGGATGACAGAATGAGGTAGCTGGATGGAATCACTGAAGCAATTAGCATGAGCTTAAATGTGCTCCAGGGGATGGTAGATGACAGGAAGGCCTGGAGGAATGTTGTCCATGGGTTACAATGGGTCGGACACAACTTCACAACAACAATAGAATGTCTAGATGTTGCTGAACCTCTCTTCAAATCATCCCCAATGCAGTAGGATATTAGCAGTTGCAGTTGAGCAATATCTGGTGTGTCACGTGTTAGACTACCGGTAAGGAGGTACCAAATTTCCATCATTTTTGTTGCATTTAATTCTACTTCAACCTCTTAGAACTGTTACACAGTGAAAAAGACTTAGGAGTAATTTGTATCAAAATAATAAAAGAAATGAATTTCTGAACAGAGAGAGTGGAACAAGGTATTTTTTTCCAATATTCTATTCATGAATTTCTCCCCTTTACTCCTTATAGGTAGTTCTTCATTTACAACAGTTCATTTAGTAATGGTTTGAAGTTACAATGGCACTGAAAAAAGTAACTTACACACTTTTCACACTTATGGCGGTTGCACATGGTCACATGATCAAAATTCAGATGCTTGGCAACTCATTCATATTTATGACAGTTGCAAGGTCACAGAGTGTTTTGCAACCTTCTGATAACAAAGTCAATGGAGAAGCCAGATTCACTTAATAACCATGTTACTAACTTAACAACTGTGGCGATTCACTTAACAACTATAGCAAGAAAGGTAATAAAATGGGATAAAATTCAGTTAACATCTATGTTGCTTAGCAACAGAAATTTGGGCTCAATTTTGGTGATAAGAACTATCTGTATTTCATGCTGTTTCTGACATACTTCAATTTAAAATTTTGTCATTTTATTATGAGATAAAACATTGTTTTATTTGTTTCATTTCTATAGCCTGTTCTAACCAGAAAACATCTATAAAGAAGCCCTCATCATGAAGCAGTATTACATGAGAACTTTTTATTTTATTTATCTGTTATTCAATAAAAAAAACTAACCTGTCATATTATAAATTACCTGAAAAATCTAGGATGATGTTCTATATTGCTTTCTTCTAGAACTTTCCTCCGTGCTCTCTGCAGCTCTTCAATTCTTTGTTTTTGTATTTCTGCCCCTTCAATATTTCCTTCTTCTAAGAACCTGTTATAATACAATATTACATGAGCAAACAATATTGATATATACTAAGGTTGTGTAATCTCTTATCATATTACACAGGGCATTTGGGCACAAATGGCTATCATCAGTGCTTTTTCCATAATTAGAATGAATTATCTTTTTTTTGATGAAGCAAAAAGTCTTGACTATAATAACATTTTCCTGCATTTTGTTTATATAATAGTTTTTGCTTAAAAAATTACCTTTGATCTGGCCTAAATCGGGTATCAGTAGGTGGTAACAGTGGTCTACTGATGGACTCAAATTCATTTATTTCTAATGCAAACTGTGTGAAACCATACCATTGTTCATAGTCTTTAGGCATTGGATCTGCAAATGAAAAACATAATAAATTCTTAGGTAAAAATTATACCTTTTCCCCATGACCCTTAAAATATTAAAGCCTTAGTTTAAAAACAAAAACATATATAGCAAGTGCCAAAGGGTTGGTTTTGTGTTTGTGTTGGTACCTCAGCTTTCAAATTCTAAAACTCTATGTCTGAAGCTAGTTGCAATAATTCTAAAACTGTCTTATTCTCAGCAACAGTTAAAAGAGCAACATAAATTTTATGCGCATTTTAATGCTTTTGATATACTTTAAAAATAGTGGTACTATTTTTTCATATCTAATATTTCTTGAATCTGATCGGCTTACATACTGCAGCTATCCGTAATACTATCAAACATCCACATCTGTCTATCCCAGGTCCTTGGAAAGGACTAATTAGGTAGACAAAAATGCCAAATCCAGTCTGAACGTCTGACAGTGCAACAAACTATAATAAATAATAACAACAATAATATGTCAAACTTAAAAATTAAATGGCCGATCAGTCACTAACTTGCTCTCCAGATACAGTTTGGTGAAGATGGTGTTCCGCAATAAATATTTTCATGCCATTTTCCAAAAAGTCGATGTACTACTTTTCCATTTTTGTCTAAAACATTGCCTTCAATATCATGAACACTGCGATTCCAATATTTAGTCTGGAGAAAAATGAGCAAAATCTGTATTAAAAGTTCAAAACAAAATAGAAGATAAAAACCAAAATAAGTCTCAATTACCTTTACAAAAGTAAGCTTGCAGTGACAGCTATCATCATTCAGATTTTTGATTATAATCTCTCCATAGTGTTCTATCCATCGTTGTCCATTTAAAATATTATGAATGCAAGATGTTACTTTATTCCATTCATAATGGTCCTTAAAACTGGAGTCAAATGAAGAATTATATGCACATCAAGAAAGAAAAAGATAGTTAATAAAGTATTTTTCTAAAATACTCAATAAAATATTATGATTTGATCCTTTCAGAAACAGCCTAAACTGCTTGCTTGACATATTCTAAACAATATGGTGCTTTATAGCATTATGGCTTAGCATGTGAATCCACCTGTGTTTTATAAAATATGTTTATCACTTAACATAAATTCATCCAGTCTCAGTTTATTCAGTAAATAAATAAACAATGACTAAGCGAATTATGGCTTTGCACAATGTGATCACCCCTCCAATATTCCTGAGAAAAATACTGACTTACTATCATGTTTTCCCGAAAATATGACAGGGTCTTATTTTCTTTTGACCCCCGAAATAAGCACTTGGCCGTATTTTCGGGGAGGTCTTATTATTTTTGAGGTGCAAGAGATGGCGAGCATGGTCACCTCATGGCTGCTGCTGTATTGCAATATTTTCAGGGGAGGGCTTACTTAAGCGCATGTGCTCAAAAGCCCAATTAGGCTTATTATCCAGGGAGGGCTTATTTTCAGGGGAATAGGGTAAATGACTTACTGAATTAAAAAAGTAGCTAAATCAAAGTTCTTTAAAAATACTGCTCTTTCACTAATTCTCCATAAAGCAATAATAATAATGTTATGTAATCAAGAATATAGTTTTTTAAGCAAATGCTAAAATGGAAAAAAATAATTTAAAATTTAAATGTCACAAAATTAGCTCACATTAACTATCTGATTAATAGGAAACAAGCCACAGAAAAGATTATTTTATCAACATGAGAAAATCTATATGGAAAAGTCAGTTTCTATAATTTATGTTTTTTTAGGCCAAAGCAAGTGAAAAATGAGGCTTAAGAACTATTGAGTTGTAAAAGGTGATCTTGCTAGCAATCCAACTATCATATTTGCTACTGGAAATCTTACCCTGGCAAAATTACATGTGTTGTGCCAATTGGTACTATTTCAATGGATTTTCCCCAGAATTTATTTTTCCATCTGATATCTGAAATTAAACAAAAATAATCAACAAAATTAAACAAATCCTTAATATTTGATACTCTGTCTATACTTAAGCTTTTTTAGGGCTCAGTTTATAAGCCCTAAACTATCAAAATAATATCATAAGATAACACCAACCTTTAAGGTTACAACAGTGCTGTTAAACATATAAAACCAATGTAACATGCATTTTTTATCTTTTCAGCAGAGCTGAACATTGATGTATATTATGGAAACATGATGGGAGCCATCCTGCTGACAATAACATTTATTATGTTCTAAGCTGTATGCAATTCAATCACAGTATTTCACAATGCAAATAAAAACCAAATGTGCAAATCCCATTCAAACTTAATATCAATAAAATAAACATCATCACTAATAAGATTAAAAAATATAGAAATGACAACTAGGGCAAATGTATTTACTTAGGTTGCTTCCCTAAACTAATCTGACTTCAAAGTAAATCTGCTGAATATAGCGGGACATTCTCTTTGTGGAGGATGGTGCATGACAGCCAATGTTATTTTCTCAGAAACTTCCATCCTGCTTCTGAAGGTTCCATGTTGATCCTAAAACAGGTTCCACAGTTGTGGGGGAAAACTGCATTTTAAAGTCTCAATAGAAAGTTGGGTTATTATCCAAATTATTATAATACTACCCAAACATGTTCCTCTTTTGTTCTTGCATTTCAAAAATTGATGATATAAATTAATGAGTTACCTTGCCAAAATATAAAGTTATCAGATTCAGCATGACATGCAGATATAGCTGGGTGATGACTGACCTAACGGGAAAGGAAGGTAAGGTTACAATTACATTTAGAACCTTACTTTCTGTTCTCATATTTATTTTTGAAATGGCTTCATTTTTCTTTGAAAAAAAGATACCCCACAAGGGGGAGCTATTAAAATAAAAACCACTCATTAATAAAGTAGTGCAAAAAATTTAAAACAAATAATAGAAATGAATAAAATAGGTTAAGGATTCAGTGAAATGATAGGAAAAATGCCATGAAAGCAAAAGAAGAATGAATCGTAAATGAATTTTGATTTGACTTCCTAGAAACCGTGTTTGAAAAAATCCTTTATATAAAATTATATATTAGGTGAAGTGTGAATTAAAAAGACCTGTATTAAATAAAATCCAAGATATAGAAAAATGTAAGTGGGGAAAACAAAACAAATGGAAAAATACAGCTAAGATTCATAATCAAGTCTTCTAAGATTTGTATAAAACCATGATACAATAAGTCATGGACTTTGGATAAAAGGGTCTATTTTTGTTAAAAGCAAACACATGTTGTTCTCAAACTTATTTTTACAATTTTTTCCAGCAATAAGATTTTTCTAGAACCTTGTGTTCCTGACTTTCATGCAAACTATTTCCTCTTCATGACTAAGTTATGGATATGTTCCATCCTTTATGTACAAGCCAGTGGTGGGTTCCGGATCCCATTGCAACCAGTACGCTGCAACACAGACGGGAGCCCACCACATGCATGTGCACAGTGAGTGCATGTGTACCCACTGCCCGCGACGCTCCAGCTGCTTGGCAGAGCGTTGCACAGGCGCCGTATGCTCCGTGTACAAATGCCTCGTTTGGCTCAAATAGAAGTAAGGAGAGGGGGTGGGCAGGTGGGCCCTCCAGAGCACTGTACCGGAACGGCAGACACCGGTACACCCATACCAGGGCATACCAGTCGTAACTCACTGGTACAATCATTAAAATGCCAGAAAATGTCTTCATAAAATCTCCAAGTTTTTCTTTTTTCCAAGTAAATTTACTGATTATTTCAAAAAAGCATTCAGTATTTACATGGAAACATAGATCTAATTTCAGGAATTAATGCTAAAATAATTATTTGAAGAAATATTGATACTATTATTACTGATTTTTTTGCAAAAGGATTAAAAATTAATATCATTTACCCAGAAGACATACCGTTCACTATTATTTATACTGACACCATCTGGAAAGATCCCAAAGGTGCTTTTTCAAGAGTCAACTGGACTTTCTTTGACGATGTTTCACTTCTCATCCAAGAAGCGTCTTCAGCTGAAGAAGCTCAGAGGTAAAGAAGCTTCTTGGATGAGAAGCAAAAAGTCTCCAAAGAAAAACCAGAAAGTCCAGTTGCCTCTTGAAAAAGAGCACCTTTTGGACTACCATGACCAGGATGACTGATAGACATCTGGGAATATATATTGCCTTTAAAATGGTCTTTCATAATCTCTTGAATGAATCATTCACATGTGGAACAAAGAGTAAGGAGCCATTCTGCCCCTGGCAGAAATCTGGTTTTGTCTTGTATGTAATCCCTAAACACAATCTGAATTACCAATGCTCAGATGATGGGCTTTACTTTTCAAAAAGTACAAGCAACTGCAAGATGATATATATATATATATATATATATATATATATATATATATATATGTGTGTGTGTGTGTGTGTGTGTGTGTGTGTGTGTGTGTGTGTGTGTGTGTGTGTATTTTTAAAGTCACAACCCCTGGTATGCCCAAATATGG